AGCAGACGTCTTAAAATGGCAAATTCTTCTTCCTGCCAGAGTTAGCAAAATTGATTCTTTTCCCCTTTCTGTATTGGCATAAGAATACAGGTTTCTTGCATGTGTAATTTACACAAGTATGTAAAAATTGCCTTTTTCCATCAAAGTAAAAGCTGTCCGTTTCTGCATGCATGTGGTATTCTTGTGTGTTACTTTTCTTCCTTACTTTTTGAGGCAGTTTGCTCTAATTGATATCCCACTCACCTTTGTGTTTCAGAAGGGTTGCAGTCAAACAGTTCTTTTTTGTCAGTTTGTTGGGTTTCAGGTTTTTTGTTTGTTAAATACCTCAGAAGCTAGGTGTATCTCTGAGTATATTAGGTGGATATGCTTAGTTAGATCACTGGATCTGTGTTTCAGGCACCTAAATAGAAGTGGCCTTATTTTTATACGTGTTCTACAGCAATGTCTCTCACTGCTTGGTAGTCTGTTGTGCATGTCTTCCTTCTCAAAGTTTATGTCGAGAAACCTAAGTTGAGTCTCTTTTGAATGTTTTGCCAGTAGTGTTTCATTACATTGGAATAGCAGCAAATAAAGCAACAGTGAAAGTAAATATAGAAAAGTAAATGTAGAGATTTATTCTAGAATATGCATCTTCTGCAGGCTGTGCACAGCGTAGTTTCATTCATTGTATGACTCTGCTTCAGTCGTAACCGATTCTGACTGGCCAGCCTTTGAGTTCAGCCTTAGATAATGTTTCAGGCTATAAATGTTTATTAACTGCATTCAATATGACCCTTAGAGTGCTGTTCCCCACATTTCATACATTTTTCAGTCCTGATATATAAGTGGCAGTGATCTTGGATAAGATCTGACTGGCTTAGAGCAAGTATTTGCAAAATAGCAGCGCAGGCAAAGTACAGATTTCTTCAGTCCAGCGGCAGGGATAGTACAATCTGATAGACAGAAGGCTGCCTTGCATTTTCAGCCTGAGGTTCGATTTGCTAGTTGCAAATATTCAAAGTAAGGCAGTAGCTTTCCTGGAAAGCTGTAATGAAGTATTACTAGTCCCAAGTGAATTAGTGGTTTTTAAAAGGTATTCAGTGCTGGGATTTTCTTTAATGATTATTACATTTTCCTTATGAATTAGACAGATTCTCATCTGCTTAATTGTAGTTTTGGATCAGGGCTTGGCTGTCATTTTTGCATCTCTCTGACCTGTCTTGACTTGGGGTTGTACTGGAACTAGTTAGTGCTTGAGAAATGAAGACTCTGCAGTCAATTTCCACCTGTTGATGGTGGTTATGACTTGGCTACCTTACCCTTGGTTTTTAAAGTCAGCCAAATACATAAACAGATACCATTTACCATGTAAAGTTGGAGATTATGAATTCTGGTCTTCGACTTTCTTTTTACTTCTTTGAAGTTAATTCTGGCTTGCTAATATGGTAGGATTTTTTCTAAAACGCTCTTGATTTCAGTTCAATGTGTTTGTTAGTCATTAGTATTTTTTTTTCTTTGTTTGAGTGGGATCATAAGAGAAGAGCTTGAAAGAAGATTTGCCAGGCAATAAACTGGGAGGGGAAAGTTGGAAGAATCATCAGCTGCTCTGGTCTAGCTGCAGTCTTGTTTTATCATACCATTAAGTAGTGTCAAGCTGGTGTACTGCTTGGATCAGGTGAATGAGAGATGCAGCACAAATTATAGCAAGTATTAGTGTTATAGTAAGTATTCTTTCAAATAATTCAGTCGCCAATTACACTAAATTATTTTTGTACCAACAGTGTTCTGGAATTGCCACCTTACCTGAGTTTTGACTATGCCTGATTATTACAGATCCCATATTGCCAGGATACAGACTTACAAACCCAGTAACATGATCAAGTATAATCTTGGAGAAAAAAATCTTATTCCACTGCTTTGAAATTTCCCATGTGATTGTTATTGGGTCTGAGTCTTCACTTTCTGTCCTAAATTACTGTCTAGCGTATGTGTTCTTAAAAACCTGCTGTATTTTTACTGAAAAGCAGTTGTTTCATTACTGGGTGATTAGTGCATATGTATACACAGATATATATATTTTTTTTATTTAAGATTTTGGGATTTTGTTTTCTTGTCAAAAATTTTTATAAACCAGGGAATGAAAATATTCAGATTCTTAGCGTGGGTGTAATGTGACCCAATTCTAACCTTGCTTGTCTCCCTGACAAGTGTATTTTACACAAATATGCAAAATTGTGTATTTGACGATTGGCATGTTGCATATCAACCTTACATTTTACTGCATAGCTAATCATCCCAAATGCTCTACTGACACAACCTGGGTGAATCTGAAGCTCTGTGAAAACTGCAGTGTTTTCTTCTGCTTCTTGAATTTCTTGTGTTTCAGATTGGTATCTTAATCTGCATAGGCTTTTATAACCTACTTTTCTTGATTTCTGTGCTTGTCTTTAAAAAAAAAAAGGGGGGGGTGGCTGGGAAATTTGTATTTATTTTACTTTGGATTTGTATTGTTAGTACAACTGATATTTCATAATGGTTTAACATGCATATGATAAGCAGCAGTAATTTGTTCTCTGATTGCACTGTGGAAATTAAAATTTATATGAGGCACACTTACAAAATTAAGGATTCAACTGATATTTAGTTCATGTTTGTTTTCTCCCAAGTTGAATACTACTTTTAGTGAGGGCTGTACCTGTAAAGTTACCATGCAGATGCAGCTGTGTTTCAGTTACGTGGATACCTCAGCAATCTGTCCATCCCCACTGGATAAAAATACATTGTTGCTTTACCTTTGTATAATTCAGGAAGGAATAGTGCTGCTTTTTTTTTTTTTTTAATTTAAAATGTTTGAGATTAGATCAATTCAGCCAAAAAGAGCTATATTCAATAAACAACGACTTGAGGAGGGTGGATGATGGAAAGCCTTTTGCAGCTCTGATTGTCTAGTTAGCTGTGTAGCAAGTAGTCATCACTATCATATGTGATAGTGTGGCAGATGAGTAGATGGATAAGTTAGTAGCAGTTCGGCTTTTCCTTTCCTCCACAGACAGAAAAATGTTTCCACTCGCTACAGATACTGTAGTGCTGCAATTTGACTTCTCAGTCTGTGCGTGCGTATGAGTGTGAGTGATAATGTTAGCTGTGCAATTAGGAGGTGTTTTCTGAGCCCCAGGGCTCTGGAGCCACAGCTTACGGTGGTTGAGGGATGGATTTTGTTGGGGTATTGTGTAAGTGTTTGAGCCCTAAGAGGTGCAATGAGCACATGCGTGAAAATGAAAGGTTTAGAGCATACAAATGTGTTAGAGTGTAGATGCTTTTGTGCTGTGAGAGCACCTCAGTGCAGAAGTGCAAGGTATAATGCATATGGTTGTGGGGGAAGAACAAACAGGGAGCTTCTGTGTCAAAATGCTGGGTGCATCTGTCTCTGGATCTGTGCATCCACACTGTGTTATTGTCAAATACCTATTTTTAGAATGAGTATCTAATTGGTATTCATGCAGATGGGTGTCTCCCTGTCTCATCTGATCTGCTCATCTGAATGATGCACTTGGTGGGAGGTGTCCACTGATGAATCTTTCGTAGGCAAAGTGCGTTCATGTCGGTCTGTTCTTTCTTACATGTACGCATGTGTTTAATTTGTTACATGAGTGTGTACGTAAGTATGTGCATGTGTGTTTGTGCATTTACCTTTTGTATGCACTAGCATGCTCAAAGATAGTATCATCTGATCCTCTAAAAAGATTAATTTAAAAAATGAAAGACGCAGAACTTGCAGCCCTTCAAGACATGATTCTTCTCTTTATGCAAAGAATAAGTGCAGAGCAGTGCAGGTTGTGGCCATGGAAACTTAGCTACCTCAGTCCAGACTTCAAGGGATTGCTCCTAGTATAGTGATGCAGCCAATTATGAATAAGAATGATGATCTTTCTGCTGCCTTGACTACTACAAAAGACAGCATACAAGTTTGTGTGCTAAGTGTACAAGTTCGTACAAGTTCATGCTGCTAAATATTTTCTTCATATAAAATAATTAAGTAGAAAACCCTGGGTACAAGCGCCAGCCATGTTTGACAGGTGTGTTTTATTTTTATGAGGGGAAATATATAATATTTATGAGCGGAAAGATCCTGAGTCTGTTTCCACCCTGTGGCAAACTTGTTGTGTGACTTTGGACAAGCAAATTTTTCTTGTGTCTCAGATTTGGGGAAAATACTTGCCTGTTATACTGAGAATTAAGCAAGATTTATTTCAATAAAGTGATATGTATATTTAGGAAAAATGGGTTGTGGTAGGCAAAGCTTTAACTATTATGAGCTTAATATAGTCTGTTCCACCTTGACATGGTAGATGTAATTATCTATATATAGTATTATGCATGATCTTGGTGTTTTAAAATGAGGTATGTAATCCTAGCTCTAAGGAATAGATTCATTATAATGTCACCTGATGCAAAAAGAGAAGCTAGGCCTTAGGGAGAAGTGATTCTTCTGCCCAAATTAAGATAGTCACAGTCCTGACTTTTCCAGATGATCTAATTAAATTGTGTTTTGTATATGGCATGAAGGACTATTCCCTTTTAGCTATGATTTTCCTCTTACCTGATGCAGTAAACCTACTGGATTACAGGTGATCTTGGTGAAGGGTTCCAAGGTTATATTGCTTACATATTAAAGGAGTGAATGTGATACAGCTGCTGAAAAGGCTCCCCTTCCTTTGAATAGATCTTAGTTCTTCATCTGGGAACAGTTGGGATGCTCTGGGTAAGACCATCCTAGCAATGTTACTGTCAGCACTGTCCCAGCTACTATCGGCAAGGATGGTCCTCCCAGACACACAGACATAGGCCTTTTTGGATGATTCTGTCTGGCTGTGAGTAAGGTCTATGAAGTAGGATGATCTTCACACACGTATTTATGATAGGGGGAGAAGCAGAGGAGGAATGCAGATGGATGTTTCTGTTCTTAGGGTTCAACTTGTTTGTATCTCAGGAGTTCCCTTTCTGCTGCTTTCTCCTCACAGATACTCCTGCTTCCAGCATCATGGCCTCTGACCTGGAAAGCAGCCTCACTTCCATAGACTGGCTCCCACAGCTTACTTTAAGGGCTACTATTGAAAAATTAGGGGGTTCCTCACAAGCAGGACCTCCAGGGACTGCCCGAAAGTGTCCCCCAGGCTCACCGACAGATCCCAATGCCACCCTGAGTAAGGATGAAGCTGCAGTGCACCAAGATGGGAAGCCACGTTACAGCTATGCCACTTTGATCACGTATGCCATCAACTCATCACCTGCCAAGAAGATGACGCTTAGTGAGATCTACCGTTGGATCTGTGACAACTTTCCCTA